GACACTTAATAATTAAGAAAAGGCTTAAGTGGGGTTTTCCAATCCAGGGTGGCCTAGCTGGGGGGGTCCTGGGAGAGATGTGTAATTGGAAAGATCATCTAGGCAGTCATCTGTCTCCAGCTGAGCATGATGAGGCTGTAATTCCCATGAAGGGCAGAGGATTTTCTCTTGTTTCATTGGTATTCCTAGAATCCACGGTGAGAACTGGTCTGGCCTATTTTACAGTGGGCAGAAAGCATGTGATGTTAGTGGGATTAAGAGGTTTGAGGGATCCTAATTTCCTGTGGGGGGATGCTGAGGTGGCTGGTGCTTTGATGGCTGACAGGATTCTCCCTCTCCATGGATGCTGCTTCTGGCTGTTCCCATCTCACACTGCAGGAGTCCTAACAGGTACCATTTCCTACCCATCACCAGGAAACTGCAGCGCAGGGATGTGCAAGGATGCATCCCAGGGTGCTGGGCAGTTTCTTTAGGCTGTTTTCTTGCAGTGCAAAGAAATAAATAAGTCTATACTCAACTTGTTACCCCATGATTCTCTTTGAGAATTTGGGATTTTGCTCTTGGGAAGTACCTGACACGTTGCTTGGTAGGTTAATAAGAGCATCTGCAGTGCCAAGCTTTTGGCTGGGGTGGGAGGAGGGACCAGAGCATCTCCACAGAGTGGTGCTGAGTTCCTGGTGGGCATGTGAGGATGTGATGGGGTCATGTGTGGCCTGTGCCAGGCAGTATGTTACATTTCACCATCCAGACACTGATTCTCAGCCTCCCCCATCCCAGCCCCATTCCATCCCCATCCCTGGAGGCAGCTGAGTTCAGCACTGTCACAAGTCATGGAGGAGGACAAATGTCATGGAGAAATTTAGGATGCAGCTGCCTGCTTCAGCATGTTTCAAAGTTAACCATGAATTTATCCCATTGGAAGGCAATTTTTCCAGGATGTGGTGACCCATGGCACTTCCCCAAATCTCCAGGCACGTAAATGCTGTTGGGGAATACAGAAGAAAAATGTTTGTAGGCAGCAGGGAAGGGAGCTGGGAGCACTGACACGTGCTCTCAGTCACAGCAGGAGTGGAGCTGCCTGCTCTGCCCTTTGAGACTGTGCCTGCTCCCTTATCACCACCCGACCCTGCCCTGTGCCCGCACAGCTCCGACACCCTGCACACACTCTGCCCCACACTGACAGCTTCCTGCCCGGGATTCACCCCCCAGCAGTGCCTGGCACCAGGCTGATTCCTGTCACAGGGAAGTTTTAGGGGTTGGAACCCATGGGAGAGGAGCAGGAGCTGTAACCCCTCTGTGCATCTCCTGGTGATGACCCTCAGTATTCCATAGTGGTGACTGATCCACCCAGCCCTGCTCACCCAGATCCTGGCAGACCCATTTGCCAGTTAGAACATGGGTGTTGTGCTGTGCAGCCAGATCCTGCCCTTCCACAGCTCCAAGGAGGCAGCCTGAGGGGTTCTCCCCAGGGAGCTGGTCACAGCACCCAGCCTGCCAGAGCACAAGGAGTGTTTGCACAACACTCTCAGGCACAGGGTGGGATTGTTGGAGCTGTGCTGTGCAGGGCCATGAGTGGGACTCGATGATCCTTGTGGATCCCTTCCAGCTCAGGTTGTTCTAGGATTCTCTGAAGTGACCAGGTGCTGCTCCACCTCCTGCCTGTGGACATCCTCATCGTGCCAAGGTTGGATGCTGGCGTGGAGGTGGGAGATGCCAGTTTCTCCTCACAGGCAGCCTTGGGATGGATGACACATTATTTTGCTCCAGGCTTTGGGGTCACACTGGCTGTCACACACTTTCCACATCCTTTGAAATAAGTGCTGGATGGCAATGGCAGCTCAGTGGCTGAGGCAGCCTCAGCATGAGCAGCACGGGAGATGCTGACAGCAATTTTCCACTCCATTTTTGGTACCAAAATGTGCAGTTAAGTGATGGAGGCAGAGAGGGCAGCAGCCCCAGCTCCTGCCTTTGGGGCTTGGCAGCTTGTCTCTGCCCTGAGGCTTGTTTCTAGCCTGAGGTTTCCTGCATGAAGAATGGGAAGCAGCTGTAGATGATGCATCTGGCAAAGGGGGGTTGAAGTGGCGCAAGATGGTTGCGGAGCTGAGGGTGGAGCGCGCGGAAACAGGAAACGTTGGCCTTGCTCTGTGTCACCATTACTGGAACTTGCTTCATCAAAGGTTTGTTTTCACTTCCAAAATGAAACCAAGCCAGCAGGAGTGAGCCCCTGGTCCCCTGGGCTGTTCCCACGGTGAGACGCAGGCGCACGTGCTCCCTGGGCCCTGCAGCAGGACTGGCAGTGATGTAGTGCCAGGGCTGGCAGCTCTTTGCAGCCCTCCTGGCTCCTAAAGCTCTGCCTGTGCTGCTGTGCTAGGGGAGCAGGTCTCTTCGACCTGCCTTGGTTTCCCATCCGGCGTGTGGAGCCGGCAGTGGTCGGAGGCTGTGGG